TTCTCTTCTTACCTATTGCTTCTGTCATTAATACAGGCGCGTGGTATGGCGCCTTATAAAACTTTTTACTGTAATTTTTTTTGTAAAAGTATACATGACAATAAATTGCTATTCCATTCTATGAAGTCCATGTGCTGTAGATAGACCCACAATGCCATTCCAGGATTTTGACCTAACCATACTGAAGAACCAGTGATATATTTCCAAGTCAGGGTGATGTACGGTGTGGAGTGGAACTTATAGGTGGTGTTCCCAAATATCTATTGTCCTTGTTCTTTGAGATGGAAGTGGTCATGGGATTTTAAGGTGTGGTTTAGGCAGCCTTAGTGAACTTCTGCAGAGCATCTTGTAGATGATATACACTGTTGCTACAGAGTGATGGTAGTGGAGGGAGAGAATGTTTATGGATGCGGTGCCAATCGAGTGGGCTGCTTTGACCTGGATGGTGTCGAGTGGGGAATATTCTATTACACTTCTGATTTGTACCTTGTAGATGTTGGACACACTTTGAAGATTCAGGAGGTGAGTTACTCATTGTAGGATTCATAGCCTCTGTCCTGTAGCCACTGTATTTATAAAGCTAGTCCAGTTCAGTTTCTGGTCAATGGAACACCCATGATTTTGATACTGGGGGATTCAATGATGGTAGTGCTGTTGAATTGCAAGGGGGGCAATGCTTAGATTTTCTCTTAATGCAGATAGTGATTGCTTGGCATTGTGTGGACAACTGTTATGTGCCACTTGTGAGCCCAAGCCTGCACATTGTCCCCGTCTTGCTGCATATGGAATTGGATTGCTTCAGTATCTAGTGAGTTGTCATAGAGGAACAGGACCTTGCTGTCATCCGATTTCCAATCTTTTGGTTATTTTTGGTTTTGTTTGAGCCAGACCTCCTCCTGGCCTCTCCCTGCCCTCCCTCATCTCTACTCTTTATTAGTTTATGTCCTTTTGGCAGTCCTTGGGCATCTAGGTCCTTGTTCCTGGTCTGTTTCAGGTTAAACCAATTCAAGTGACAATTCCTACCTGTGATGGGGTTCTTGTGGTGCAGTGATAGTGTCCCTGCACTGGGAGGCCCAGGTTCACGTCCCAGCCAACACTGAAGCAGGTAAGAACATCTTTGAACAGATTAATTAAAAAAATCTCCTATCTGTGCCAATACTAGTGTCAAAGATATGAAATCTTTCATTCCCACACCGACTCTTTATCTCTTCATCACTTGCCAATCTGCAGATAGTTTGTGTGATAATCCTGAGATTATTAGCCTCAAGGACCTGGCTTCTAATTTACCTCTTGTTACTTCTGCAGCAAGACTTCCTCCTTGTTCTTTTATATAGTATGTCTGATATGGACAATAGTAACCAGATCGTTCTTTCCTCGCTCCAACTTCCTTTTCATAAACATCAATATATTCTTTACCCTGACATTAGGTAGGCCTCTAATGTCTGGCTGAAGAGAAGTCTATCCACACCCTTGATTAGTGAATCTCTATAACTACCATGTTTGCTTCTTCCCCTTTCGAAATCCTCTTCCTTTACAGTGCCTAGCTCAACATTGTAGTTGACCTCAGCAGTCTCTCTCATCATCAAAAAGTAGCAAGTACATTGATGTTTGCATGAACTCCGCCTCACCTCAGTTCTCCCTACCCTGTTGATGAAGTAAAAACCTCACCTTCCTGTACCTATGGTTTCTTCTGAGGTGTGATAGTGATGTGGAATAATGTATCCAAAACTTACTCCCCTCTATGCTAATTTGTCACTCCATGTGTTCTCCAACACCAAGATCAACTATTCACACCTCTATCATTTTGATACCTCCCATCTACTGCTGCTGAAACCATCATTCTTATTTTAATCCATCACTCCATTGGTCTCACCAGCTTTCCACAACATTTCTTCACCTATTACCTGCCATTCTCAACCAGAAACATATCACATTTAAAATCCTTACTCTTGAGTTTGAAATCTTTCTTACCTTTGTTCCCGTCCCTTCTGTGACCTACTCCAGCTGTATAACTTTGAGAACATTGCATTTCTCCAATTTTAGTCTCATGCATTACCTATTTCTTTTATCCTACCTTTGTCAGTTACACCTCAATTCTGGAGATTATAATTTCCTCCCTAAATATCGTCTTCACTACATGAGTCTCTTCTTCAGTGGGATGCTCCTTAAAACCTACCTCTTTATTCAAAAAGGCTTGGCATCAAACTATTTCTGATATTCTTCCATGAAATAACTCAGGGCAATTAACTATGTGACGTTCTATATAACTGCAAATTACTCTTAGGTAGAAAATACTAAACAATTACTTCATACTCTATATTGACCTGTCAAATTATAAACAATAAAATAACAAATGCCACACATTTCAAATACATGAGCAGCCCTAGAAGAATGAACAGATAAAAGATTCTTAACTTAAGTAGGAACAGTCTGAAAAGAACTGCCTAAAATTAGGAGTTTAAATTTGGGGAGATGGAATAAATCTAATAGTAGTGACAGGCCAAAAAAGACAGGTATTAATTTGGGAAATGATAAACAGATCATGACAGGAAGGGACAGCGAGTACAAATCTAAGTCAACAGATGAGGTTAGAGCTTACAAAAATAATCATAGGACAGAGCTAAAGGCTCCATATTTGAATGTAATTAGCATTCAAACAACAGATAAATTATAGTGCAAACGGAAATAATTAAGTATGATCTGATAGACATTATAAAGATAAGGCTGCAAGATGACACGCTGGGGACTGAAACTTGAAAAATATTTAAAAAGGACAGCAAGTTAGGAAAAGGTAAAGGGGAGGCTCTGTTAATAAAAGAAACAGATGACCAGAGTTCACAAAACCAGGATGTAGAAGTGGTTTGGGTAGAGATTGCTTAATGGTATTATTGCTAGACTGTTAATCCAGACACGTAGGCAATGTTCAAAGGACCTGGGTTCAAACACCACCGTGGCAGATGGTGGAATCTGAATTTGATAAAAATCTGGAATTAAGAGTCTACTGATGGCTATGAGACCATGTCGATTATCAGAAAAACTACTTGGTTCAGTAAATTCTTTACGGAAGGAAACTGGTTCTCTTACCTGGTTTGACCTACACATGGTGGCTGACAGTAATATCCCAGAAATAGTTGTAAATCAGGAAATGGAAAACAGGTGGGAGACAAACTGCAATTCCCTGGACATGATACTGTTGTGGCTGTAGGCTAATAGTTGCCCAGGTCCTGATGGATTTTATCTTAGGGTATTAACGAAAGTGTCTAGTGAGATCATTGATATGTTGGCTTTAATTTTCCATAATTCTCCAAATTTGAGGAAGGTTCATTTAGATTAGAAATTAGTGAATTTAATTCCTTTATTCAAAATGGGAGAGGGATACAGAAAGCATGTCAGCACAAATAATGTCTGTCATAGGGAAGATGTTAGAAGCTATTATTCAAAAGGCGGGTACTTAGGAAAGCTCAATATAGGTAACAGAGTTAACAACATTTTGTGAAAGCAAAATCATGTTTAACCAATTTATTGGAGTTCTTTGAGGAAGAATCATGTACAGTGGATAAACAAAATGAATTTGTTAAGGTGCCACATCAAAAATGGAGAAAAGGTGCAGAAAACAGATGTTCAGAAAACTCAGAAGGGTAAATATACTCCCAGGGATAGAAAGTTGGCCAGCTAACAGGAAACAGACAGTACGTGGCAAAACGTAATGATTGCTGTGCCACAGGGATACATGCTGGTGTCTCAACATTTTCTAATTTATATAAATGACTAGAATGAAGGGATCAAGTGCATGTATGAAGGTAAGTTGTGAATAGGACATAAGGAGGCAATGAAGCAATATAGGCAAAGATATACCAAATTGAGTAAAATGTGGGAAAATGTGAATCTGTCCATGTTGATAGGAAGAATTAAAAAGAAGCATATTAGCTGAATGGTGATAGATTGCAGAGAACTGAGAAGCAGAGTTATCTGAGTGTTCTAGTGCATGATCACTAAAGTTTAGTATGCGGACATAGACACTAATTAAGAAGCCCGTAGAAAGTTATAGTTTATTGTGAGGGCAATTGAATACAAAAGCTGGGAGGTTTTGCTTCAATTGTATAGGGTATTAGTGAGAGCACATCTGGACCAGTGTGTACTGCACTGGCCTCCTTCTTTAAGGAATGATGTGAATGCATTAGAAGCAATTCAGAGATTAACCAGAATAATTCTAGAAATTGGCAGGTTGTTTTAATGAGAAAAGGTTGGGCAGGATATTCTTTAATCTGCTGGTGTTTATAAGAGTAAGAGGCAACCTGATTGTATATATACAAGATCTTGAGGGGTTTTGATTGAGTAGTTAGGCTAGAATTGCTTCCACTTATGGGAGAATCTAGAACTTAGGGTCACTGATTAAAATTCAGGGTTCACCCATTTAATACAGAGATAAGGAGAATTTTTTTCCTCACAAAAAGTTGTCTTTCTTTGGAACTCTCTTCTTCAAAAGGTGGTAGAAGCAGAGCCTTTGAATGTTTTTAAAACAGAGGTAAATAGATTGTTGATAAGCAAGGAGGTGAAGGTTACTGGAAGTAGGCAGGAACGTGTAGTAATCAGATCAGCCATGATCTTAATGAATGATGCAGCAAGCTCAGAGGGTTGGGTGGTGTACACTGCTCCTAATTCATATGTTTGAAATCAGGCTCATGTAGTTGCTGTTCAAGATCTCCAAAAAAATTAGAAACAAAACTCACTTTACATCTTATAAATCTGGTAGCCATTCCTTCTTGCCTGATTCAATGACCTGAGCTTCCCAGAGTGCTCTGACTGACAAACATATTTGAAAAGATGGAAATAAAGTTCAAAAGACAGTCCTGTATAAAAATTTGATCAAGAGTAATGATACAACTGCAGAGAAAGATATTTGTGGTGACTCATAATTTAATTGACTGGGTTGTCAAAATCCTCTGGATACGGTCTCAAACATTGAAAATACCATTCCAAGTGTTTTGCATATGGATTACCTGTTGAAGCGAGGATCTGCATAGGCGTCAGGAATGTTAAGAACCTCTCCTGTTCGTGCTACTTGCCCAGCAATTCCTTTCTCAATAGAAAATCTATGCAGCAGAAAAGAGAGTGTTTGAGAGTTTTCATCTGTATTTTGAAGACAAGCTAGCACAACAATGAATCAGCAAATTTCAACTGTTCTAACAACTCTGAAGTATTTTGAGCAATACAAAATATCTTAGTTCAGTATACCAAGTTTCAATACAAAGGTTAAAAACAATCATAACTTGCCTCTCATATGTTTCAGCATATTTTGAAAGCTTTCACATCAATTTCTATCTTTACTTAAAATAATGTCTTGTTCAATGTCCTCTAGTATTTAAAGTACAGACCATGCAATTGTTCTGTATGATACTGACATGTTTATGATACAAATTTTAGCATTTCGACTTATAAATCCTTTCAACAATGCTTTAATTGTTGTGTTAATCGGCAAAATATGTAAATATTCTAGAAAGATTAAAGAAAAGACACACTTTTAGCACCTGTATGCTAATATCACACTGCACGATACAAAGCAATACTCCTAATTATTACAAAACTGCAACAAAGTTCACTTCAGTTTTGATAACAGAGATGTGAATTAGTATAAAGCATAAATTTGAGCTAATCTTCACTATTATAATTAACAAGAAAGATAAATAGGTCATATTTCCAATGGAAAATCTAGGTTATTATTCAGTGTAGATATATCAGCAACTTGGTACCTAATCTCTTTGGTTTTCTTGAAAACTGGTCTTCCTTCCTTTTCTTCACCGACATCAAACAGGTCTGAGTATAACTCCTGGTTACTGTGATCCACCTGAAAGAACGCACAACGATCTGCGTTCACCAAATTTTTTGCATTTATCTGGAAAAAGAATTTCAAAAGGCAATCAATAGCAAGCGTAATCACAGAGCCAATTTTTTCCTGAGTCAGGATGATTCTTGAGCTCTTTAAGAATGTCAGGCCAAACTCAGAGACGAAAGTCTCACATCCATTTCTGGCCAATACAATTTTCGCTTGTAGGAGAGAGGGGCATAGGACATGAATCACACAAGCAGGAAAGAATAATCTGCTGGGCTATTTGAAAATAGTGTTGCGTTCAAGAAGATCACACTTTCACAGTCCCAAAGGCCAGAATGCACAACGTGGGCATCACTCATCTATGAAAGAGATGTAAAATATTTTGAAAGGCAGATCAGGTCTGTTTAAAAGTCATGATCTTACATTATTCTTTTCATTAGACTTCATAGTTGACATTTTCCAAGGGGTCTTATTACAAATGAGCCCATTAACGATGTTTAGCTGCATTTCAAAAGTTTCATGACCACTTATTTTGGTAGGTGGGAGTTGAATTCACATTTTGATTAATAGTTTTACACGGCAATTAAAAAATTAGCTATCTTCAAAGTGGTTACTCAATACCCGTTTGCTTTTGTAGCATCCAGTCTGATTTGCCATTTAATGAGATTGTGGATGATCAGATAACCCATCTATTTTAGCCTTGAAGATATGTAATAACCCAGTCTCAATGGCGTTTTACAGTAAAGTATTCCACCATAGTTTCGCTATCCTCTGAGAGAAGCATTCTGTCTCATCTGTCTTAAATGGGGAACCCCTTATTCTGAGGTGCTGCCTTCCAGTCCTAGAGAAATGCCACCTCCACATCTATCCTGTCAAGCACAGAAACCTATATAGTACAAAATGTTGCTCATTCTGCCAAATTCCAATCATACACGCGCAAACTACTCAACCTCTCTTCATAAGAAATTCCTCTATACCTAGGAACAACCTAATGAATCTTCTCTGGTCTGCCTTCAATGCCAGTACATCTTTCCTGAGATAGTGGAACCAAAACTGTTCACAGCACTCTAGGTGTGGTCTGACTAGTGCCTTGAATAGACACTACAAGTTACAGACAACATAATTTATTTTCACCACCAAACGGATCTGGAGCTTTTCCCATTGTGGATGCTGGTAAATGGGTTTAGGGTATCATGGGAACTATGAAATGCACGTAGGAAACATAAGGTGATATAGAGACGATGTGGAGCTATGAGATGGCACTGGGTCTAATAGGAGAATAGGTGGATAGTGGAGGTAGTCAGGGAGTAATTGGGTCAGGTCAGGGGTAGTCAGGTTGAGAATTTAGTTGGATTGGTTCAGGAGGTACTGGGATTAGGGGCAGTTGAGCAGGTTGCTTTGGGAGGAGATCAAATGTGCAGTGACCTAGTGTTAGACTAGGTTTTAATCCATGTTGCATTTCCTTAGTGACTACCTAGGTAGGTAACATGGAACTCCAAAGTCTCCAATTTTAATGCAGTCAGACACATTCGCAGGTATTCCTGGCAGCAGGGAATTATCCATCTGAAATGGAGAATTCTTGGATAATTCCAGTGGAGGTCTTCACATTTGAGTTCACAGAGTCACGAAACATATCTTGAGTCATAAGTCAGGTCTCTAAGAATCCAGAGACTGAAAATTTGACCTGCATGTTTAATAATACAATTAAAGAATATGACGCTTGCGTGTACTTACTATTAACCTTTCCCACCATAAATTTCTATGCTCATATTTATGATGGAAAGAACTAAAAAGGAGTTGAGAGTTTCTTGAATAGGTGGTAAAAATAAATGAGTGAAGGTGAGCTATCACAAGGCAATGAGGACAGCTCGCAGTAGAAGCAGCCAGTGCAACATTGCATCCAACATTTGGCAACAGGAAAGAACTTGAGAAAGTTTGTCATGCTGCATTCAGTGGAGAAGTTAGATGACTCTGAACGTTAGACAAACAGTTCAATGGAGAAGGTCTTCTCTCTTGTTCTTGGGATGGAAGCACAACTGGCTAGGCCACCATTAATTGCCATCCCAAATTGCCCTTGCAAAGGTCGTGGTGAAGTAGGGGTGTCTGTGTGTGTGTGTCTTGTCTGTCTGTGCATGGATGTGTGCCTGTGCAGGTGATTTAAAGCACACACACATTGCTGTCAGAAAGGGAATCACAGGATCTTAACCTAGCCTCAGTAAGGGAATATGTCCAAGTCACAATGATATATGGCTTAGAAGCAAACCTGTAGGTAGTAGTGGTCCTAAATGGTAGAGGTTGTGAATTTCAAAGGAAACCTGGGTGAGTTGTTACTGTGCATTTCATAGATGGTACATGTTGTTGCCACAATGATGTGCTGGTGAAGCAAATGAATGTTGAAGGTGATGAATGGAGTGACAATCAAGTGTGCTATTGTGTCCTGGATGCAGGTACTGAGGCTCCTTCAGTGCTGTTGGAGCTGCACCCATCCAGTTAAGTGGAAAGTACTCTATCACACTTCTGACTTATCTCCTGTAGAATGTGAATAGTAATTGGGGAGATAGCTGTGGGTTACATGCTGCAGAATTCTGAGCCTCTGACTTACTCTTGTCGTCACACTAAGTATCTGGCTGCTCTGATTCATTTTGGTAGATGTCAACTCTCAGAAAAGTCATTGTATGGGATTGCACAATGAAACATTAAAAGGGTGAATGGTTAGCTTTCCTCTTGTTGGACACGATCATTGCCTGGCACGTGGAGAACAAATATTATTTGTCACTTATCATACAGACACTGAATGTTGTCGAGATCTCATTGTACATGGACACAGGTACGTCATTACCTGAGGAGCGGTGAATGATGCTGAATATTTAGCAATCATCAACAAACATTGTCACTTCAGACCTTGTAATGGAAGGAAGGTCATTGATGAAGCAGATGATGTTTGAGCCCAGGGAACTACCCTGAAGAGCCCCTGCAGTGATGTCCCTGGACTGAGATGCCATCCTCCTCCGTGCTCGATTCCCAGTTTTGTTAGGGGTGCTTTATAGGAAAACAGAAACAGGAATAGACCATTCCACCTTTTGAGCCAGTCCTGCCATTCAATTAAATCATGGCTGATCTGCTACCACAGCGTCAGGTGATCAGTGGTGTTGGTGGAATTCAAGCTGTTGTTAGTGAGTAAGTTATTGGTGAGCAAGCGCTACTTGATACAATTATTGATGACACCTTTCATCACTTTACTGATGATTCGGAGTACACTGATATGATGGCAATTGGCCAGATTGATCCTGCTTTTTATAGATAGGACATACCTGGGCAATTTTCCACATGGTTGGGTAGATCCCAGTGTTGTACCCGTCCTGGAACAGCTTGGCTAGTGGGGCAGCTAGTTCTGGAAGACTGGTTTTCAGTACTATTGCTGGAGTGTTGGCACGGTCAAGAACTTTTTAAGAATCCAGTGTCTTTAGCTATCCCTTAATACTAAATGGTGAAACAAGTTGACTGGCAAATATGACCTCAGGAGACCACTGAGATGGTAGTCTACTTGGCAATTCTGGATAAAGATGGGTGAAAATATTTCAACCTTATTTGTTGCACTGTTGTGCTGGACTCCGCCATCATTGAAAATATAGATATTTGTTGAGATTGTGAGTTAATTGTCCACCCCGATAACCAATGGATAAAGCAGAATTGCAAAGTTTAGATTTGATTTGTTTGTTATGGATCATTTGGCCCAGTCTAGTGAATTCTACTTTCACTGTTTGGTATGCAAGTATCCCTGTCTTGTAGCTTCATCTTGTTGAATCACCAAGATGACATCTCATTTTTCAGGTATGCCTGGAACTGTTTCTGGCATGTTCTCTTTAACTCTTCATTGAACCCCTAACTTGATGGTAACAATAGAGTGGGGATATGCCAGGCCAGGAGGTTACAGAGAGTGACTGAACACCATTTGAGTAGATTTGTTCAAAATCCGTCACACTTATAATTACGGTTTATCACACAACATGATGGAGGGTATACTCAATGTAAAGATATAAGCTTGTGTCCAAAAAGACTGACTGGTGTGCACTCCTATTAATACTTTCATGGACAGATGCATAAGCAACTATAAATTGACGTAAATAAGGTCAAGAAGATTTTCCCCCTCTTCTTGGTTCTCTCACCACCAGTTGTAGTCCCTGCCTAGTAGCTACACACTTTAGGATTCAGCCAGCCCAGTGAGTCGTGATGTTGCTGATGTACCTTTGATGAAGGGTATTAAAGTCTACCACACCGAGGATATTTTGTGCCCTTCTCGGCCTCTTCCAATTGCTGTTCAACATAGAGCAATCCTGTTGATCAGTGAAGGAAAGCAGTAGGAGGTTTAGGTGTTCATCAGCAGGAGGTATATCTTTGCCCATGTTTGACCTGACGCCACAAGACACCAGGGGCTTCAGTGTCAAGGTTGAGAACTCCCAACGTAACTCCCTCCTGACTGTCCACAACTACATTGCTGCCTCCAACGGCTATGTCCTCCTGGTGGAACAGGACATACCCAGGGAAGGTGGCTGTGGTATCTGGGACATAGTCATACTCATGGAACCACGCCTTGACTCGCCTGTGGGACAGTTCTTCTATTGGCAGCTCAAGACCCCAAAAGTCAGTGAGGAGCACTTTGCAGTGTTAATAGGGATGAATTTTCCTTTCTTATTTGTGGAGTACATGGAAATTACTTCAGCTATCAGGCTTCAATCCTTTTCTTTGACATTGTAGTGATTTAATACAATTTGAGTGGCTTGCTCAGGCATTGAGGGCAGTTAAGATTTGAGCATGCTGCTATGGGTCTGGAAAGACATGTAGGCCAGACCAGGTAGAGATGACAGACTTCCCTTCCTAAAAGACACCGGTAATTCAGATAAGTTTTTATGGCACTATTGATACTGGTATCATGGTCACAATTAGACACACTTTTTAATTCCTGATGTAGAATCGAAGTCAAATTTCACCATCTATCCTGGTGAGATTAGAACAATGTCCTGAGAGCATTGCACTGTTCTATGAATTACTGATCCAGTGACATTATCACCATTTGCTTAGGGTTAGAGTTGGATGACATCAGTAAACATGTAAAACCTGATCCCATATTTACATGTGACATTATCTAGGAGCAGAGCATTGTTAAAGAAGAGGAGGGGGTCAATGATGTATCCATTAGTTGGGAAGGGTCTGGAAGGCTAACACAAAGTGGAAAAGTTAAGTCTCAATTACCTGGGTGCATCAATAACAGAAATGAACAAGTGAAAAGGGCATTCTATAGAGTGTCTAGTTTTGCCTTTTCAGTTAACATTATTTTCCTTGAGGCTTTTCCCTTCTGCAACTATGAAGCCAAAAAAAAAAATTCATTTCAATGAAGAGGTATCTAGCCAATTTGCATCCAACAATCTGCACTGGAAACTCTGCTTTTATTTTGACAGTTGTGGCAATTTCTAGCACAGTAGCTGAGACAATCCACAACATTCTAAAGAAAAATCAATAACATTAAGTAAAACAAAAACATTCCAAAAAAAGTAAATTTGCTGCATCTCTCAATCCTACTGGCTCTCGTAAGATCTATACCTTCGTTAGTTTTTGAGATATAACATTCCCAGGCAAACAGATTAACCGGGTCAAATAAACTTTATGATGTGTGTGTCAAGAATTGTGCTAACATGCACATCAAGTCGAAAAACTAATAAACTGTTAAAGTAGAAATAAGCAGCAGTAACTTGTGCACAGTGCTAAAATCAATATTGAAAATGTCATCATAGAGTCATACAGCACTGAAACAGACCCTTTGGTCCAACTTGTACTTGCCGACTACGTTTCCCAAACTAAACTAGTCCCGTTTGCCGGTGTTTGGCCCATGTCCCTGTAAACCTTTCCCATTCATGTACCTGTCCAAATGTCTTTTAATTGTTGGAACTGTACTTGCATCTACCACCTCACCTAGCAGTTCATTCTATATATGCACCACCCTCTAATTAAAAAAGTTGCACAAGCTTCACATTCTACTTTTACAAAGTAAGTATGACTGACACAGATTCATGAATCTATAATTATCTTTCCTGCACATTGCCAATAGTTATCACATATGAAAAAGCACTTCTGTAAATAATTAGGGTACTACTCCCTGAGACGTGCATCTCATGAAGGGATCATACAGATAAGAAAAAGTGCTAGCAACTATATAAAAGCAAAAATCTAAAATTAAAAAAACAAATGATGTAATAATCAGAGATAGTAAGAATTGCAGATGCTGGAGTCAGAGATAACACAGTGTGGAACTGGAGGAACACAGCAGGCCAGGCATCAGAGGAGCAGGAAAGTTGACGTTTTGGGTCGGGACCCTTCATCAGAAATGGGGAGGGGGAAGGGAGCTCAGAAACAAAGAGAGAGAGGAGGGGTGGGGCTGGGGAAGGTAGGTGGGATGGTGATAGGTGAGTGCAGGTAGGGAGTGGTGGGGATTGGTCAGTGAGATGGGAGGGATGGATAGGTGGGAGAGAAGTTGGACAGATTGTGTCAGGTCAAGGAGGTGGGGATGAGAGGGAGGACTGGTCATGGGATGGGGCCGGAGGGGTGGAAGATTTTGAAACTGGCAAAATCCACGTTTAGGGGAGACCACAGTTCAAAATCTCCCTACCCCCGGCCTCATCCCGTGATCACCCTCCCTCTCATGCCCGCCTCCTTGACCTGACACAACTTGTCCATCTTCTCTCCCACCTATTCACCCCTCCTACCTCACTGACCAATCCCCTCCCTACCTGCACTCACCTATCACCATCACAACTACCTTCCTCAGCCCCACCCCTTCTCTCTCTATTTATTTCTGAGCTCCCTTCCCCCTCCCCATTTCTGAAGAAGGGTCCCGACCCGAAACATCAACTTTCCTGCTCCTCTGATGCTGCCTGGCCTGATGTAATAATCAGCAGGTTTTACAGCATCTTTGGTGAGAGAAATTGAGTTAACGTTTTGAGTTGAATATGACTGTCCTTCGATTCAAATGACTCTTTTTCAGAAGAATAGTCACATTTGACTTCAAACACCAACTTTTTCTGTCCCCACAGATGGCAGTCTATTTTTAAGAAAAATATGTATGCTTGACTCATAGAATTACAAGCAGAAGCAGTAAACTATAATTTTGTTCCAATGATTCTCATTAAAATCAAAGATCCCTTCCTTATGTCTGAATTTTATCCCAGAGACAGTGGAGAAAACATCATTGGGTACTCACCATGATGTGTTCAAGTAGGGAATCTATTGCCAGTATATTATCAAAATAGGTTCTGAAAGAAAAGAAGAAGGGTCAAAGTAGGGTTATTTACATCATTCATATTTTAAGTTCTTTAAAGTAACATTTGTTCTTTAATACTAAGGATCTACGCTACATGGAATAACACAAGTGTTATTATCATTACAACCTCATACATTATTTATTTTTAAAAAGTAGTTTTGACACTTTTGTTACATCTAACTCTACATGAAATAATCTTTCTAGATTATCTTACGGGATACCTTAAATATTGGCCAAAGTGTCAAGTGGTTCCACCCAGTTACAATGTGAGATACTCATGATCAACTATATTTGATTCCTTTGACTTTTCCAAATCAACTCACTGGTTTTGATAGCAGATCTAAATCACTGCATGATCAAATGACACCCCCATAAGCTGTCAAACAAGATTCACACAGCCACATGGAATGTACTGCATGGTTCAGGTGCAGAGCACACCACCTTTTAAAAATATTTTTAAAAAATTCACCTGTGGGATATGGACATCGCTGGCTGGCCAGCACTTATTGCCCATCCCTAGTTGTACTTGAGAAGCTAGTGGTGAGCTGCCTTTTTGATCTGCTACAACCCATGTGCTATAGATAGACCCACAATGCTATTAAGGAGGAATTCCAGCACTCTGATGCAATGGCACGGAATGAATGGCAATATATTTCCAAGTCAGAATGGTGAGTGGCTTTGGGTGGAAGTTGCAAGTGGTGGCGTTCTGATGTATCTGCTGCCCTTGTCCTTCTAGATGGATATTGGTGAATTTCTGCAGAGCATCTTTTGATGGTCAATGCAAGTAAAGTTTACTGTCAGTGGAAGAGGGAGTGGATGTTTGTGGGTGTGGATGTAGCTGCTTTGTCCTGGATGGAGTCAAGCTTCCCGGGCGCTAAAGCTGCATTAATCCAGGCAGGTGGAGTGTGTTCCATCACACTCCTGACTTGTGCTTTGTATTTGGTGGACAGCTATTGGAGACTCAGGAGCACAGTTGATCCCTGCAATTTTCTGAAGCTCTGACCTGCTCTTGTAGCCACTGTATTTATATGACAAATCCAATCAGTTTCTAATCAATGGTAACCTCAGATATTGTTAGTGGAGGATTCGGTGATGGTAAATGCCACTGAACCCTAAGGGCAGTAGTTATATTCTCTCTTATTAGAGAGATGGTCATTGCCTGGCATTTGTGTGGTGTGAATATTACTTGCTACGTTTCATTCCGAGCTTGGATATTGTCCAGATTTTGTTGCATTTGAACATGGACTGCTTAAGTATCTGAGGAATTGTAAATGTCCTGAACACTATGCAATTATCAGCGAACATCCCCATTCCAATTTATAACCTTTTCGTGCAGGGAGGGACGTTGATGAAGCAATTGAAGGCTGTTGGTCCTAGGACACTACTCTGAGGAACTCCTGCAGAAATGTCCTGCAGCTGAGATGATGGACCTCCAACAACAATAACAATCTTCCAATGTGTCAGGTATGTGTCCAACCAGCAGAGTTCTCCCCGATTCCCATTGAATTCAGATTTACTCAGTCACCTATTGCCATATTCAGTCAAATGCGACCATAATGCCAAGCACAGTCACTCATACTTCACCTTTGGAATTGTGGTCTTTTGTCTATGTTTGAACCAAGGCTGTAATGAGGTCAGGAACCGAGTGGCCCTGGCTGAACCCAAACTGAGTGTCACTGAGCCGGTTATTGATGGTACCTTCCATAATTTTTGATGATCGAAAGTAGACTGATGAGACGGTAACTGGCCAGGTTGGGGTTGTCCTGTTTTTGTGTACAAGACATACTGGGCAATTTTCCACATTGTCAGGTAGATGCCAGTGTTGTAACTATACTGGATGAGCTTGACTAGGGGAGCAGCAAGTTCTGGAGCATAATCTTTAGTACTATTGCTGAATGCTGTCAGGGCCCATAGCCTTTGCACTATCCTTTAACTGTTTCTTAGCATCATGTGGAGTGAATCGAATTGGCTGAAGACTTGTATCTGTGATGCTGGGCACCTCTGAAAGAAGCCAAGAATGATCATTCACTGTACTTCTGGCTGCAGATTGTTGTAAATGCTTTAGCCTTATCATTTGCATGGATGTGTTGGGTTCTCCCACTATTCAGGATAGGGATATTTGTGCAGCCTCTTCCTCTAGTAAGTTGTTTAATTGTTCACCACCATTCAGGACTGGATGAGGCAGGATGACAGAGCTTAGATCTGATGCATTGGTTGTGGATTGCAGCTCATAAGTTGCTGCTTATGGTGTTTGGCATGCAAATAATTCTGTTTGGTAGCTTCACCAAGTTGACATCTCATTTTTAGGTATATCTGGTGCTGCTTCTTGCATGCCAAACTGAATTCTTCATTGAGTCATGGTTGATTCCCTTGGCTTGATGAGTGGGGGATATGCCAGGCCATAAGGTTGCAGATTCTGTTGACTGTATGATTCTGCTGCTGTTGATGGCCCTCAGTGCCTCTTGGATGCTCAGTCTTGAGTCACTTGAAGTCTGTCCAATTTAGCATGGTGATAATGTCACACAATTATCAGGTAAGGTATCAGCATTGTGAAGGTTGTATTTTGTCTCCATAAGCACTGTACTGTACTCACCAATACTGTCAGGGACAGAAGCATCTGTGGCAGGCAGATTGGCAAGGATAAGATCAAGTAGATTTCTCCCTCTTGTGGCCTACCTCACCACCTGCCACTGATACATCTAACAGATATGTTCTTTAGGAAGTGATCAGTTCAATCAATAGTGCTGCAGCTAAGCCACTCTTGGTGGTGGACATTGAAATTCCTCAACTAGAGCAATTTCTGCACCCTTAACACTTTCGGTGCTTCCTCTAAATGGTGTTCAACACGGAGGAATACTGATTCAGCAGCCAAGGGAGGACAGTATGTGGTAATCAGCAGGTGGCTTCCTTGCCATGGAACAGGCATACCCATCAGTGGTGGTGTTGTTGTTTGGAACTTGTGTGTAAGGTATAATTCCTGGATTATGACAATGTCAGACTGTTGCTTCACCAGTCTGTGAGCTAGCATTGCCCAATTTTGGCACTAGCCCCAGGTGTTAGCAACAAGGACTTTGATGGGGCATTAGGGCTGTTTTTGCCATTGTCATTTATGTGCTTAGGTTGATGCTAGGTGATACGTCTAGTTTCTTTCTACTTTGAGACTTTGGTGATTGCTACAAGTGAAGGCTTGCTCGGCCATTTCAGAGAGCAGTCACACATAAACCACAAAGAGCTATCATTCAAGTTCAGTGGCTAATAAGGAAGGCAAATGGAATGTTGGCTTTTACTTCATACAGAATGGAGTATAATGAAGTGGAAACTCTTGCTAAGAAGTATACAAGGCACTAACCAGACCACAGCTGAAATACTGAATGGTTTTGGTTCCCTTACCCAAGGAAATTTTTTCAACCAGGTAAGTACAGCAATTTGCTTCCCTTAAGGACTTTAGTGAACTTTTTTGATAATTGGCAATGGTTTCACGGTCATCATTAGACTCTTAGTTCCAGAGTTTTATTGATTTCAAATTCGATCATCGACAATAGTGTGACTTTAACCTAGGTTTCTGAATTAATAGTCTGGCAATAATATCACTAGGCCATTGCCTCCACAAACACCCTTTGTCCACTGCTGTTCATGACTGGATACTGCGGAATCACTTAGCCCCAAAAATGCTGCTTATGCTGTTTGGCACACAAGTAGTCCTGTTTTGCAGCTTCAAGTTGACATCTCATTTCTAGAAATGCCTGGTGCTTCTCTGGGCATTTCATCCTGCACTCTTCATTCAAAAGGTTTGATTTGGGGTGGCATCGTGGCACAGTGGTTAGCACTGCTTCCTCACAGTGCCAGGGACCCAGGTTTAATTTCCATCCTTGGGCAACTGTCTGCATGGAGTTTGCATATTCTGCCCATGTCTGCGTGGGTTTCCTCCAGGTGTTCCAGTTTCTTCCCACAGTCCGAAAATGTGTAGGCTAGGTGGATTGGCCATGCTAAATTGTATTTAGTGTTCAGGGACGTGTAGATTAGGTGGATGGGTCTGGGTGGGATGCCCTGCGGGTCAGTGTGGACTTGTTGGGTCGAAGGGCCTGTCTCCACACTGTAGGGATTCTATGGTTCTATCTCTGGTCTAATGGTAGTGCTAGAGTGGGGGATATGCCAGCCTAAGAGGTTGCAGATTATGTTGGAGTATAATTCTGCTGCTGCTTATAGCTCATGTTGCCTCTGTCTTGAGTCCTTAGATCTGTTCAAAATTAATCCCATTTAGTGCAGCGGTAGTGCCACAAAACACAGTGAGAGTATCCTCAGTGTGAAAACAGGACTTCAGATTTGGACCCTCCTACCAATGCTATCATGGACAGAATCATCTGGCAGGTTCATTGGTGAGGATGAGGTCAAGTATGTTTTGTTTACTTGTTGGTTCTTCACCATTTGCTGCAGACCCAATCTAGTAGTTAAAGCTCGTAGGACTCGGCCAGGTCTGTCAGTAGTGGCACTGCTGAGCAACTCTTGATGATAGATATTGAAGTCCCCATCCAAAGTCCATTCCATGCCCTTGCCATCCTCAGTGCTTCCTTGTAGTGGAATTCAACAGAGGAATACTGATTCCTTAGATGGGGGCACAGTAATGTGGTCGCCAGCAGGGGGCTTTCTTCTCTATGCTTGGCCTGATGTCATGAGGCCTCACGGGGTCCACAATCATATTGGAGACTCCTGGGGTGATTCCTCCCAACTGCATACCTTTGTGCCACCACTTCTGCTAGGTTGTCCTGCCGATAGATCTGGGCATACCCAGGGATGATGATGCTGTTGAACGGGAAGTGATCAGCAAGGTACAATTCTGAGTGTATGACAGTGTCAGGCTATTGCTTGACTACTCTGTGAAACAGCTCTCCACTTGGCACTAGCCTCTAGATGTTAGCAAGGAGGTCACAAGTTGGACAGCGCTGCATCTTGTCGTCGTTTCCAAAGCCTAAGTTGGTAATAATTGGTCCATATGATTTCTTTCCTTTTTTGATACTATTTTGTCATCTGATACAATTAAGTGGCTTGCCAGGTCTTTCAGAAGGTAGTTGAGAGTCAACCACATTGTTTGTGGGTCTGCAGTCACATGTAGGCCAGACCAGGTAAGAACAGCAAGTTCCTTTTCCAAAAGAACATCACTGAATTAGATGGGTTTTTATGACAATTAACAATGGTTTGCTCCTCCTTGGCCTCAGCCTCCCAGTGTTTCTTGCCTCCTGTTCTCACCTTTCGGCTCCAGGTCTGCTCCTGCCTTTGCTGTTGACTCTGCTCCTATGTCTTCACGTCCCTCCTTAACTTGAGGTTATGGGCTTCATCTATTGCCAGAAGTTTGTCAGTGCAAGGAATCCTACAGATCCAGCTGTGTAGACCAACCTCTGTCACTAGATGGAGCGCAGTCAATCTAACAGAACAGTAAATTATTAGATCTTTCTTTCATACTTTCAAATTTATGTTGAGTTATTTAATTAACTGATGAAGAAATTTAATGTACATTTAAAGTACAAGTGGTACTGAATTTGAACTTAGAAGGTGCAGATATAATTTTTTTTTCCTCTGCTCTGGAAGGCTCTACAGAACCTAATCAATGCTTCACAAATTTTCAGCAACGTAATCCCTTAAAAATGAGGACAACAGCACATCTTTTTGGCTGCCATTTTCAGAGGGGTGGACTGCCCTGAATGTTTGAGTGTTGCCACGGAGAAGTAGAACAACTCTTCATAATAATTAAATGAAACTCCCATAATGCAGTTGGGAGCTTGGAAGTAATCTGGCCATCCTAGGGAAAGAATCACAAACTAAAAATTAGTGAAATACCAAGTGACAGCTTTCACACGTAGGACCGTTATCATTGAGACACAAAGAGCGCACGCGAGAGAGGGCGAGAGGGCACAAGAGCGATAGAGGAAGCAAAAGCAGCTACTGCTATGTGAAGCAGAGAAGGACTTGTGTTAACAACCAAGCAGGATGAACATAGGAACAAGGAGCAAGAGTATGCCACTCAGCCCTTGAAGCCTGCTCTGCCATTCAATAAAATTGTGGTTGATCATGAGAGAATTGGTTTTATATTGGATAGGGAGGGAATAGACCAAAGAGTCTTTTAGAGATTTATGGATCAAAATGTCAATGAAGTGGGATTTTTGGGTAAAGTAAGATCTGGAAAACACAGGCTGAGTAAAATGACTTTTGAATGACAGTCGAAGTTTTGACCTAACACTGTGGAGAGAAAAACCCTATTGGAGTACCAGGAGTACCTTTGGAATTTTACTTGCAATGCTAGAAGTACTGTGCAAAGTGAAAGGAATTCATTATGTTTCTTGAATTTTTGAGATAGTTTATGCAAAATTACCTCATTGCCACTTTGATGCAATAGCTACTTGTTAATGTTTGAGCTATGTTCATTCTAGTTTGTTCCAGTAAAAATCTTGAAATAGGAAAACCTATCCTTCAGTTTTGTGTTGGCCTTATAGGAAATTCATCTTTGTTAAAAGTCTCCATATGGATTGTAATAATTGTTAAAATAGTGGTAAGAATCGACTAGCAATACTGAACTACCATCTTCTGATTTTAATGTCTGAATTCTTCATGGACTAAAATGATTTTTCAAGACAACAAATATTGACCTAAATTTACTGCTGTGATCACCTGACCATAGATTGAGGCAAGTCCAGGGAACCCATCTGGATACACTAAATCAACTATACTGAAGTTATCATTTCATCCAAAGAGAGTGAAACCAGATAACAAAGTTAGCTTAAACAAATATGCACATCTTATCCACGCTTGCACATTAAGTTGACATATTGGTAGATGAACGATTGCCTGCCGTGTGTTCAGATTGGAAAGACAATGGAGCTTGACAAGGGAATATACAAACAAGCCATATTTCAGTAGCTTGTTTGGATAAGCAGAGAAGAATACAGTTTCATGACAACAGACTTTGGAAGGCTTGTTCTCTGTTTCTCCCGGTTTCTCTAAAGCTCCGAAGTCAAGGCCCAATAAAAATACAAGTTGAAAAACAACCATTCATTAAGAAGACCAGAATTCTATGACTTCACCACTCTTGAGGAAGCAACACAACAGCTAAATAGTCATGGAACCAGAATCCCTACTCACACCTCGAAGTCTCTAAAAACCTTTAAGCTGTCTAGCATTGTTCTTTCTGTCCATACCGGTCTCTCCATTGTAAACTTATTCCCCATGTTTGGGTGTGCTTGATGTCATGTTTATTATTTTTGTTGAGGTTAATAGGTACAAAAATTTCTCTATTTCATTCATGAATACCTTACAAATGGATCAAATTAAAGGAGCCAATTAACCATACTGGCATAAGTGCATGCTGGAAAAAAAAATTTGAAGCAACTGACCAAGATAGGGTTAAAGAAGAAAGCTGTTTTTCCTCCTCACTTAGTCATAACACAATATATTACTCTGCATAAATGATCACCCCAAACAATGTATTTATCAAATTAAAAATATGAATCACTTACTTGGATACATCAAGCAGAAAATCATTCATTTCACTCTGTTTGGCAAGACCTTTGGAAATCTGAAACAGGAGGTTTCAAATTAGGGCAATGTTTGAAAAGGACCTTGACCCCAAAAGAGGTCAACTAGGCATCTGTTAGTGTATTTCTGCATGTGTGCAAGTGAATGTTTAAACTATTGGATGGAGGGGTTTTGATGAGTAAAAGGGAGAAACCTTCTTACTAGCTGGTGAGCTGATAGCCACAAGACATAAATTCAAAATAATTTACAGAAGAACTAGAGTTTAGATAAGTAATGATCAGGAATATACCATTTGATCAGGTGGAGGAAGCAAATTCAATAGTAACTTCCAAAAAGGAATTAGATATAGACTTTAACTGGAACAAATTGCAATTTTGTTAGGAAACAGCATGTAAAAGACTACTGGGGAAACCTTTTTAAAGAACCAGCAGCAGCATAATGGGCTAAATAGTTTCCTTCTGTGCTCCATGATTCTATAACAAGGCACAATGAAGCAGACTGCTTTGTGCTGGATGGTGCCAAGCTTCTTGGAGTTTTGTTCTATTTGCCCATAAATGGACAATTGGAATGTACTCAATTACCCACCTGACTTTTGCCTTGTAAGGTGGTTACATGCTTTAAAGTCACTCCTCAAAAAACTACCCTGTCACTGTCTCAGACACTCTAGCCATATCACATATTGATTGTTCTAGGTTTTAGTAAATGGCAATCCCAGATTGATGATGGAAACTCAAATGATGGAAATACAATTAAACATAAACGGACGAAAATGGAGTTCAACTGTCCACCAATATCTATGGACTAGATTTGGTGGGGCTGAGTAGTTTTGACTTGGTCTGTTCAGCGACATGTACCTTAGCCCTGTCTACAGCAGGCTGCTTCTACTGTTTAGCATACACATAATCTTGTGTTGTAGCTTCCAGGTGGACAGCTCATTTACAGCCCAATGCTGGATTCAGCATTCTCTTGTGCTTTCATAATGATGGTTAAACAAGGCTTATGCTGGACCATGGGGTTATGGACTGTGGCTCTATGATTCTGCTGTTGTTGATGGTTTATAATACCTCAACAATGTCCTATTTTAAGCTGCTTGATTTGGCCAAAAATCAGAAGCATGAAAGCATATGGGAATGGTGAGTACTTGAGGGGCTGACTGTCATGGTTACAACAGGGTCTATGTCCCAGTATACAGAGGTAGGCTTTGTCACCTGCGAACCTCACCACCTGCCTCCTGCTTCTATTGCTTCTGGAGGTGGTGGGCTCAATTCCAACCTACACCAGAATAAAAATAAGGAGACGGAGATGGGTTTGCAGAGTCAGGAATTTGACTGAATCATGTTTCCTGTCACCTTACTCTGTTATTCTTCCCTTTGAGCTCTCAATTCTTTTTCTGGTACTCTTCTGCATACTTCTTGTTACTTCTTTGTTTCTCCATTAATTATTCTCTTCCCCCATTTTTACTCTCTATCTTTATACAGTCTGCTTTTCATGTAAAAATTAGCAACCACAACTTTTTCTTTAGTAATCTCTTACATCTGGGAAGTTTGGAAGCAGCTACAGAAAGTGGAAAGTGGCTAAGGATGGCACTGAACAGAGCTACAGTGTACAGTAGCAGAGGATTTGAAGAAGTTGTCAGCACGTTCATATGTCATGAGACCTGAAACAAAAAAAAACTCGAGAAAATGTTGGAATCCTACCTCAACTTGATGTATTGCCACTGAAGCCCACGCTAAGTTTGCAGTGGCAATCTGGAACAAAGAACACAAAGTAAGGCTTTTACACACAGTCCACCTGAACTAGGATAACCTTTCCATCATCATCTTCACTTATTGTCCTTCTTCCTCTGAAAGTACTGACTTCTGTTTTGTATGTTTCAATTAGCACACGTATTAACAATTTCCTCAACAACTGGTCAATTATCTGTTTTCCACGTGTTGACCTTGACCATGAATGATGGCAGACTCTGACTGGAATGAATGTTACCAAGCCTGATCTGGTCTTAATCCAATGTCTACACTTACTGTTGATCAGAAGTAGAAATTCTACTTAAATTGTTCTAGTACACATGCACACTGACTAATTATAATGTCTTTGCGACCACTTTTGCTTATATCAGATTAAACGGTGTGCACTTATTATTGATCTGGTGTACATGACTCATTAATATACTTAATCAGTATTTGGAGGAACTCCTCCTCTATATCGTTTGAACTTTTATCTGACAACTCACGGACATTACAGTAAGTTTTAAAACTGTGGTCAGGGTTTCACAAGCAGAATAATCAATTGCTAATATGTCTTTTTGAATCATACTGATTTTCTGGATTCTTCTTTTCTCTTACCACACCTAATGGTGCATGAGGTAGACAAAGCACACTTGTTTCCTTGATTAGTTTTCTATATAGCAGGTCGCTAGCCTATCACCAGAGGCTATAGCTTGAGGGACATCACTTTGCATTAAACATAGCTCATCAGGAAAACTATGCTGCTCTTACTGCCTTCCATTGGCTTATTTAAAAGGATTTGCAGGTTGATAATCAACATGTTCGGCCATATTACGAATGCATCTTCTGAGGCTGTCAAGCTTTGCAATGGGAACTGAACCCAGAAACTCTAGCTCAGAAGATAGGATGCTACTCACTTCTACACAAGACCTCTCCATTTTCTGGGTTAACCCTGTTAAAATACTTTAGGACTGCTGAATATCATAAAGATATTAAGTAAAAATCGCATTTTTGGTTTACGTTTAAAGTCTGCAGTGTTAATGAGAATTTTGCTTGACCACAAGAGTAGAAACCCACCTGCTGTTGGTCACTGTCAAAGGGATTTCTGCCACGTTGTCGATACAATTCCAAAACACCTAACAAGTCATTGCTGGCAGTAACGATTGGTAAGCAGAGGACAGATTGAATAGGAGACGTTGAGTCCATCGATATCCCCTTAGGGAATCGACTATCCTAAAAGAAAAAGAGAATGTGGGTGTGCATCAGATATGGGCAGATGCCATTGCACAATTCCTCCCTAATATGAGAATCTCACCACTGTTTGCATGCCAAACTGTGAAACAAGTGGATTTGTCATGCTTTAAAATCAGAAATACAGCAGCATATGAAACATGCCGTGACTCATGAATTTGTTACATATATCCCTATACATAACATGTGTTTAATAAATGTTCAAGCTTGAAACAGTTAACGCATCACTTAATCTTTTAAGTTTCAAAGGACAATAGCTAAAATCATAGAGATATTTTGAAATTATTCCTGTACAGGGAATTTTATTGATAGTAGTTACAAACTCTTCCAATGTATTAAACATTGTATATTACTAGTACAAGATTAGAAGTATAAGAATATATGGTAATTAATTCTCAATTTTAAAATATTTTTGTATACGAAACAACTTTTCTCTTATTATGGTATTATTATTGTAAATATAAGTCGTGTACTGTACAAGGAACATTGCTAACATTAAGGCATAAAATGTTACAAGTTGGCTTAAGAACACAAAATAGTAGCAGGTAATACTACTAATAGATGGATCCAAACAATTGTAACTCCTGGGCCAGATTTGAACCTATTGCAATTCATAGTTAAGGGACTCAATATTATAATGTCAGATTAAAAAAAGATGGTGCATGCTTAACTGCGGATAATCTTATGTGGCCTCTGTAGGTCATTAGAAGTATAATAGAAAGAGATGTCAGGTTAAACTTAATACAGAAATGCGAGGTGAAAGTTTTGACCGGAGTAAGAGAATGCATATATTAATGTTAACATTTTAAAAGCTTGTATTCTTTAAAGCAAGAGCAAGTGAATACAATTGTTTCAAAAAAAAGAACAACATGAAATTCTAGGTTTAATTAACAGAAAAAAGAACTTGCATTTAGATAACACCTATCATAATCTAAAGACATCCTAAAGTACTTTCAACGACAGAATCTTGTTTCAGCATTGACTGTCTGACTTGCCAGTTGGAGAGCCAGTGAGATATTCACATTGATTCTTCCAGAAATGAGGCAATGAACCATAAGCCAATCAAGTAGTGGCGAAGCTAGCGGCGAACTCTCACTGGAAATAAGATCCCAAGGTGGAGGTCCCACTTTCTGAGAATGGCCAGTTAATAAGAAATTGTTGCTCAGCAGCATAATTATTAATGCAGTCGCTATTGCTGGAGTTTCAGAATCAAAGACTACGCGACAGATAACTATAACGTCACGGAGGGGTTTTGTGGGCTAAGGAGGGTTGGCAGCAAGGATTCTTCACCTTTGTCCCTCACCCCCTTCCTGATATGAAGTCCCTAAAATTGGGTACTGAGTGTCTTAGATTGAGCCACCACCACTCCTTTCTAGGTAGTGAGCTGGCCATACAGTTTTATTTATTGCACACATGCTGCATTCCAAGTGTCATGCCTGTAACTGGGTTAACATATGTGGCAGTGGAATAAGGCCTCTCAGCGGTCACTAATTGGCAACTTAAAGCCCTCAGTTGCAGAAAGGTAGAAAATCTGGTCAAGGTCCTTAATTTTGGTGCAAATAGAAAAGTGGCGGGGTTTAGATCCTCCCTAATTTAGGCTTTTCCACCTCCAAGCACACCACGAAAGAGGGAATAAGATTTCACCGACAGTTTATTTGTGATTACAATATTTTTAGGGTCTTTTGAAACCATGGGAAGTTTCATTACATTTTATTTTTATTTGGGAGTGTTAATTATTAAACTTTTAATGGTCAATCTAATCACCTCAATCTCAGGCACATCACCGATGGACAATACCAAGTTTATTCAAAAAAAAGAATATGTTGTCATTTTAGACTTCATTTTTGCACTATCTGGTTTAATACGGTACTGTTGACAGCCTGGGAGCTTTCTTAACTTGGGATTTTATGTAGCGAAATAACAAATGAGAAGATGATAAACAATTTAATCCTATGTTTCAACCCCCTTTCTACTTCTAACCTACGAACAGTGATTCTTTCTAGTCCAGACAAAGGGTTTTGGTCCGAAACATTGACTTTCCTTACTCCTCGGATGCTGTCTGACTGGCTGTGCTTTTCCAGCCCCACATTTATTGACTCTAGTTTCCAGCATCTGCAATCCTTGCTGTCTCCTTTCTAGTTAACAGCTTCTTGATTAGGATCCCTCTGGGACCTTATCAAAACAGTAATATTAATTTACAAGTTCAAGTCCTAGGTAAGGAAGTCCTGTCACTTTTTCAATGGATCCAAATTTTTCTGGCTCAGATAACAGGGACAGCATAAATTATGAAAGAGTCAAAGATAAACTCAGTAGGGCCATTTGAACACAATACTGGAGATCAAACAAATTCTATTTTTGCTGTTTGAAAAAAAACCTCTGAAAACCTGTGCTGGAAAGCATTGATTGACAGACTATCCATATTGTTGGAAAAAAGAAATCTAGATGTATAGTTCTTTTATGATTCATTCACTGGATGTGGGCATCGCTGGCTATGCTGCCATTTTTTGCTGATTTGTAGCTGTCTAAAGTGCAGTTAGGAGTCAGAATCAACAAATTACTTTGGATCTGGAGTCACGGGTAGGCCAGACCAGGTAAGGATGGCAAAATCTCTAATTTAAAAGGACATTAGTAAAATTAGTATTTTGTTAGATTTTTACCGAATTCAAATTTTACCACCTCCATGGTGAGTTTCAAAACCATGCCTCCAGAATGTTAACCTAGGGTTCTGGGTTATTAGTACAGTGACATTTCCACTATATCACCTTATCCACAAATAATTTTAATTGAGTTGTTTTGCCACCATTTTCCTAAAAGTTATAATAATAACAATATGAATGCTTGACTGAATTTTCAAAAACTACAAGTATCTCAGCAGGGGGTTCCCAGTTTGGTTGACAATTTAATATGTTTTAAAGGATTAGTTGTCTTTCTGGGGACTGAACAGAAATTTGTTTGTTTTTATGGGTTATGCTGTGAATGGGTTTCTTGAATGGGAGATTTTTCACTGTCAAGTCTGTAGGACCAAGAGCCACATCATACTGTCAGAAATGTATTTCTTTTCATTGCTTTGCTCCTAAGGTCTGCCCAAAGTGGATATTGAGTGAGTGACTAATGAGGTGATACGGAGGTAACACAATGGATGATGGGGTATGACAGGTGAGTGCTAGAAGGACTGCTAGCATGTAAAATAATTGGCACAAAGTCAAACACCTAGGAACAGCAGTGAACTTTTTATTAGACTGCCTCAGCATTCGCCTAGCACATGGCCACCAAGGATCTGCTTTCAGGGTTGGTGGACTTGACTTAATCAAGTCCTATTTAGCATGGATCAGAAACTGGATCTAATGGGTTTTTTTAAGCTGATATAGATCTGCCAAGTGAAAATTTTCCGATTTCAGTCACTCCCTCTATAACAAAAACCCAATCTCTTGTGTTCTAGAGACATGTATTTTTTGCCAGCAAAGGGCACTGAAAATGGTTTTTAGAAGATTATTGGTTAAATACTAGCATAGGAACATCACTCCCTCTGCTGAGATGAACTGATTCAACAGACTTGGGATCAAATTGGGACTTGTGTGGTCAGAATGGACTAGTTCTATGTGTCATAAGGTACATTTACCCAGTGTACATTGGGAAGCCTAAAGAAACAGTCAATGTAACAAACCGGGTCCAGGCACGATTATAGAACACATTGATACAATTTTCTTAAAAAAGAGAATGATGGGATTTGCTAATGCCTTACACCAGAAATAAATGGAAAAGTTAAATGGCAATTGAAATAACTCCAGATAGGCTGGTAGCCCATCACCAAGTCACCCTTAATTTACACATGGAGCATCCACACTGATCCAGCTCTCTCTCAGCCAGCTCTCAGAGTGAACAGAACCTCTGACATTCCTGTTTATATCTGTCAGCCAAGGCTCCCTGATTCGGGCTGTTAACCTGATCCAATCTGGGAACTCATTCTATGGTCCACCTAGCTGACCTTGTTACAGTCACTACATTCTCCTCCCCCCACCGAGACCAAGGACATACGTTGATTCTTTTTTGTAGCTCCTGACCTGGTGCTAAAATGCCCCCAGGAGATTCCTCCAACTCTACCTCTGATACGGGCAGCATGTAACACACAATAGCTCACTTCTTCTGCCCAGAGCATCTTGGAAGAAATTCATTCCCCTCTTTAGGTGGCAATGGTGTAGAGGCGGCAACCTCCACTGAGTCCATCTCAGATTCTTCAATGCTTGATGGAAAGAGAGAACCCACAGTTTCCAGAACAGTGAGAAAGACAGTTGAGGAGTCAGTCACATTTGCAGCTTTCATGTGGTCCATATGACCATCACACCGACACAAACTTTTTATGTCATTGGACCTGACCCTGTGTCGACCATGTCTTTTACCCATAAAAGGCCATTTCCGTGGTTCCTACACCAAACTTTGTCCCCTGAAGTAAACTGTCTCTTTCACTTAGCGGAGTCTTGTGTTCAGCATTGGCGTTCTTGATGCCGTTTCACACTCTCGTCCTCAGGTCTGGGAAGATCAGATTTAACCTGGTGTGGAGTCTTCTTGCCATCAGCAACTCTGCTGGAGCTATCCCTGTAGTTATGAGAGGGGTGGTCCTATAATCAAACAGGAACTAGGACAGTCTGGTATCTAGTGAAGCTGCAGGCTATTTCTTAGAGCAGTCCAAACTTTGAAGGCAGGCTTTTTCTGCCAGACCATTGGATGATTGATGGTATGGAGCTGTCCTTGTATGACGAATAGTCAAATTCCCTGCCAGTAAACGATGGCCCGTTATCTGCAACAAACACTTCTGGGAGTCCGTGCTTTGCAAAAAATGCACACAGTTTTTATATTGTTGTCCCCATGTTTGACAAATGAACTCTATGCATGTCCAGCAATTTTGAGTGGGTGTCCACAATGATGAAGAACATGGAGCCCATGAAAGGACCTGCACTGTCGATGTGTAACCAAGTCCAGGGTTTACCCGGCCATTCCCACAAATGTGAGGGAACTGCTGGCAGTAATTTTTGCCTTGTTGGCACTCTGGGCACTGCCCCACCAATGTGACTATGTCTGCATCCAATCCTGGCCACCAGACATAAAAATCTCAACACCATTTTTAGTTTGGAATCCCCTGATGACCCTGGGGGAGTTTAGCCAGTATCTGGCAGCAACCTTTGCTTGGGACAATCACTCTTGCTCCCCATAATAATATGCCATCCTCTACTGTGATCTGGTCTCTCTGGAACCAAGAAAGTTTCAATTCTGGCTGTGATGGCGCTTTGCTTTCCCCCATCACCACCAGCTGTTTCAGTTTTGCCAGGACTGGATCTTTCTGTGTCCAAAGTCTGATATTGTCTGCATTAACATCAGATCTTGCTTGGGATCATAGTTGCCAACACCTTAGTGGATAATAGCTGTTTCTTCACTTCCCTGAAAGCTATGGCTTCGCTACATGACCATTTCTAAGGCTGACCCTTTTTTAAGAGTTGATGCAAAGGTGCCAGGATGGAGACCAGGTTACGTATGAACTTTCTATAATAATTCACCAGCCCAAAGAAAGACCTAAGCTCTGGTACAGACATGAGAGCAGCTTTATCACCCTCACTTTATCTTCCAAAGGGTGCAACCTGCTCTTGTTGAGTCTGTAGCTCAAGTAGATCACTTGGGGTACCTGGAACACACATTTTTCCCTTCTAAGGTGTATGCCTGCCTGGGAGAAACGTCTAAGGATTATGTCCAAGTTCTCTAATTAGTCTTCCTTATTATTAGCATCACCTAGATAAATAGCTACCTGGGGTAGACCTTGAAAAATGTTCTCCAACATCCACTAAAAAATTGCACAGGCTGATGATACCCCAAATGGTAGTATCGTATATTGGTACAAACCCTTATGGTTATTAATTGTAGCATACTTCTGGAAATCCTCATCTAACCACAATACACGTACAAATGGTTCATGTCAGCTTCATGGAGGACAGCCCCCTGCCTGGTTTGCATATAAATCCTCAATGCGAGGGAATGGAGATTTATCCAGCTGCGAGAAGTGGTTTACCGTTTGTTTGAAATCCCCACAAAGGCAAAGTGACCCATCCGGCCTCATAATCGGTATGACTGATGCTGTCTATTCCGCAAACTGGACTGGTTTGATGATTCTTTCATTTTCCAGGCTCCTGATTTGTGTCTCTACTTTTGCCTGCACTGGGCAAGCCCTGTAGAATTGTGGAATTGTTTCCTGGCCTTGGCTCTTTTGATAGTCCCTCGACCTTCCTGAAAACTTCCAGGTATTTAATTAGGACATCACTCAGGCAGCAATTTTCTAATTGAAAAGTATTGGGCTAATCTAGGTGGATCTTTCTCAATGAATTTCAGTCCAACAAGCTTGGGCCTGAGCCTTTTACTACAATCACTGGTAACTGAACCAGCTGCTTCTCATAAGAGACCAGAACCGAAATTTCATCTTTAATCTGTTAAATTTGCGCAAGACCTCAGCTAGACTGAGAACCTATGCCAGGGAACCTTAAGGGTCGGAGTCCAGAGCGAATTTGGTTACAGACCGGTTCTGACATTACTGAAACAGCCGTGCCAGTGTTGACCTTCATTAGAACCGGGTGACCATTTAACCAATTGTTTATTTTGATTGGTTCTGATTTGGATGTTGCTAAGCAATTTAACTGTTCCAAACCAGATGTAGGTGAACTTTTCAGTCTGAGCACTCTCCTCGATACCGGCCTACAAGATCTTACTCCATTTAGGTCTAGTGGGACTCTTTTGCTCGAGTCCGCATACCAGCAGCAACTACAATGGCTTGCCAGCCCAGATCTTGAAGACAATTGTAACCATTTGGCTGAGGTTTGGCTTTGTTTTGGGGTTTTGCTGTGGGCTGACCTACAGTCCCTCTGTCAGGATATGTCCTGAGTGAGGCTATGTAATTGTCTTTGCTCAAGTAGAGTTCACCAAGCTCAGTTGGACTGGACTTCCATTAAGATATCTTGTAACACATAAGCTCCACTTGCCGCATCTTCCAATGATAAAGCCAGTTGTCATACCCGTTTGAAGTCTAGATGGGCTTTAGCTAGGAGGCACTTTTTCATGGTTGCATCATTAATCCCATATACCAAACAAACAGTCAGCATGTCATTAAGGATTAGAACAAAATCATATTCCTCTGCCAGTCATCTTAACCTAGTTAAAAATCCTGATATAGATTCCCCTACAGGTCTTGAATTGCTGGATAAAACCGACAGTGTCTCAGAATTATAGGAGGCTTGGGGTCTGGTGCCTCACGGAAAATTAGGCAGCTAATAACTGAAAAAGCTGCAGGTCCACAAGCTTTCAGGAGAATTACTCATTGCTTTTCGTCTGCCCCAATGTCATTTGCCTAGAAAAACTAAAACATTCTTTCCACATGCTGGGCCCAGTCTTTGATAGCAGGATTGAACGAGTCAAGCTTCCCAAATAACGGCACGATGCCAAAAGTGCTCATCCCAACTCAAAGACTGTTGGAAGTGTATTTCTTCAGGAGCATGCTTTTCTTGCGCCACTACTGAAATAACTCCACACAGGCTGGTATCCCGTCACCAAGTTAACCTTTACTTACACATGGAGATTCCTTGACATTGATCCAGCTTCCTTGGAGCCAGCTCTCAGAGTGAACAGAACCTCTGACACTCCTGTTTATATCTGTCAGCCAGGGCTCCCTGATTACACTGGATTAACAGCCATATATTTTATGAGATCCACCTGACTGACCTCGTTACAATCACTACAGTAATCAGTATCTTCAACTTTGAAACAATTAAAGCTAAGATTTTGGTGAAAATGTCTTTCATAATATGTAAGAAAGCACTTTTTTTTGGACTTTAACCTGAAATGGAAGTTGGGCTGTTACATTCTTAAAGTGCAGAGAGTTTTGCAAATTGAAAATCAAGTGCTACATATATCTGTTTCAGTCTGACAAGGTTGACTTTTCAAGCAGTGAGGGAGAGAATTTGATTCCGAGGGCACAGAATTTTCTGAGTTAAGGAATTTTGGCCTGATAACAGCCCCTCTGGTTGGTGAGTTGGAGGTGTGGAGGTGTGAAAAAGCTGCAAGTGCCGGGGTAGCAGAGACAAAAAAAAATTGCCAGAGCCTGCAAACTGAAAGCATCCACCTCTCCTTCCCAGTGCATAAAATAAAACAGTAAAATCAAGAAAGCTGAAAAGAATTTCATAAGATCTATCTACATCCCTACCTCAGCAAGGTCTTGTACTAACAGTGTTTTCCTGAACTTAGCTACGTATGATGCTACTGTAATGCCAAATCCAGCAGGTTCAACAGCAATAGGCTTCTTTTGTTGGTCTTTCAGTCCGGCTGATGTAAACAGGCACAGTGACTGCTGAAAAACACAAAATAAATCAGGCCAAATCAATTATAAATATTAATCGAGCAACAATGCACTAATAGTACGCTGAAATCAGCAAATTTATTTTTGTCTTTTCTCAGAGCTGGTGTTCCATTGAGGAGTGCGGGCTTAGTTTCTACCTGAAAGTGAAAGGAACATGTCATGGCAATTCTGGATGTCAAGATTTTATAAAATCATTTTACATTCTACTATGGTACAATGATTCAATATCGCTACGAATTAAGTCACAATAAACATAATGGAAAATGCAGTGATTTTGCTGCCCACTGACTGGAACTGCATCATGAGACCCTAATGATTATGCTTTACACTAACTGTAACAACATCATTATAGTAACAGCGATGACATATAAATAGATTACAGTCTAAGAAAAAGAATCTGAAAGCTAACAATAGTCCCTACCTGGCATAGTTTACCTAGTGCATCTATTTTGCTAAATAATAAATTCTCAAACCTGTAGTACCGATATGCATGTAGTTCATTTCTATAACTTGGATGTACCTTCATTGAAAAGAAATAGATCATTCAAAAATATAGGAATAAATTGGACAGTGACTGAGGCTGTATGAACATACGCAGCTAAACACAAAAAAACCTGCAAGTTATATCTTGAGTTAGCCAACTCCTACTTCGGGTTTGCTATGCCAGTATTTCTTTAGTAGACTCAGCCATGTAAACCACACAAGGCTGTGAAATTTTTGTACTTAGCCACTGAGCACACCAGAGTTACGGCTGGTGCATTTATACATAAATGAAATTTTAATGAGCATATCAGTCGAAAGATTCTCTCTAGTACTGGGAACCAATGTTAAAAGTGTGGTGCCTCATTCCATCAATATGTAATCCATGTTAATAATTTAAGAAACAGACTAAAATTAACATTTTAATTATCTTATGTCTCTTAGCTACTCTTTGATTTTTATATATTATTTAAATTCAATTTATACATCCTGTATATCTCAGTGAAGATTCTTTCATCTGTTTGGATGAAAAGACACATTACTGTCTGCCCTGCTCTCTCACTAGATTCTCCATAAAGTGTGCATGCTGAGTCAGGGACCCGATGACAATAAATAGCTACTCAAAAGCTTTAGCTAAGTATATATCCAATAGTCACTATAATGTATAACAAGTTCCACCCTTCCCATTAACTGCAAATTCCAGGCAATTGTCATTTTTGCTACTAATTATGGGAAATGTTCATAGTCCTCTGTCAGTAAAACCTAAAGGAAAAGCAGGAGATACCCTTTCAGTTAACTCAAAATTACTTCTGTGGAGCCAGGATCAGGAAATACAATCCTATACTTCCCCAACTTCTACGCTCAATGCCAGGCATTTTGTTTTTCTGGTTGATTGGTCTTCAGAACACCTGACATTGTGCCAGCCCACAGCCAGAAGATTGTTTCCACCATCAGGATATGACTTCAAGGTCTGGACCTCAGAACATAATGAGCTCTCCAAAGTTTTTAGGCAGTCTGTCAGAATTCCAAAAGTCAAAAGCTAGTCCTGTTCTTATTTTTACAGCCCCAAGGAAAATAAAATATGAAAACCTATTGATTTTTACCTGCCGATTCTTAATCAAAACAAGAAAGGATTCTGGATAATCCAAGATGGAGAATGGGAAAGAAATGTAGCTAAGGTATTTTCAGTGTTGGAGCTGATTTCCTCAAATTCTAGGAGCAGTAATTACTGTTTTATAAGCTGTTGCATTGTTTTGGAACTTTGGAAAAAAAGATCAAAACAACAGTACTTTAAAAAAGGTAGAAGAGATACAAAGGCAGTGACCATGTGGGAAGTGAGTCCAACAGAAAAATAAACCCACACAGCTGTCTGACCCAGCAGTGAACCTGCACAGCTGACTGCCTCTGCTGTTCGGTTTCAAGTATCTCTGGACATTGCAGGTAATTTAAGAAAAATAAACAGCAAAATTCAAAGCTGACCTTGGAGAAACCTACGTAAGAGAGCCCACAGCAAGGGAGCAGTTAGGTGATTAGTTTTTAAAAGTGTAAGCTTACTTTTTATATTAAAAGGCATCTGGATGGGTATATGAATAGGAAGGGTTTAGACAGATATGGGCCAAATGCTGGTAAATGGGACTAGATTAATTTAGGATATCTGGTCAGCATGGACGAGTTGGATCGAAGGGTCCATTTCCATTCTGTACAGGTCTATGACTCGAAATGAGCATAATGGTTTAATATGTATTTTATTTAAAAGACAATTTTGTTATAAGCTTCTCATCTAAAAATGTCTGCTGTTCTGTGATCAATCATCTTAGTGCACATCTCTATCAATTTTAGGTGGAACTTCCTGTGCCCACATTTATAATGGAAGGCAATCATGCAAACTCAGTCTTTCACTGGCTGCTAGATGCTTTTCCTCACCAATGAAAATTGCTTTCATAAAAGGTCTCCACTATATTGTTAATTGTTGAAACTTCTGACAGAAGAAATACATATTTAAGCTTTCATTTACCCTGAGAAAAGGTGATAGGCAGAATTTAATCAGAACAGCATTGTGCCTATCCACTAGCTGGAAAGCCAGTGCCAAACTTGCTATTGTTATATCTAGGAAGACCAATGGAATTTAATACCAGTTAAATATAGTCATCATATGCTACCAGGGTTTCCGGGGCCTGCAGGACAGAAGTCCCACCTCCACAGTAGGTGGCTAATCAGAGGCCAGCAGTTCTTAAGTACATGCAGCTGCTGCCAGTATTGTGGTAGGCCCTCAAATGGCAACTTCAAAGCTTGAAGCAGCCTCTGGACAGGAAGGCTGTCGCCGGTGCTTTCCAGTCTTTCACATTATTCACAACGTGAAGGAATATTTTAATCAAACTGTTGTAATACACCCCCAGGACAGGTAGGACTTGAATCTGGGCATTCTGTCAGTTAGGCAGGGATATCACACTGTGCCATAAGAACCCTCCCAGTTCTTTCCACATCCGGCTGAATTTTGGAGAAATCACAAAGTCAATGGGCTCTCCACACCAAATCTTTCTGTCCCTACCTCTCAGCCTTCTCCTGTGGGAGCACTAAATATCACCAGATGTATTTCACAATTACTTAATTATTTAACAATTTCACTGGTAATTGTATGATAATACAGAATTTGAGCATTGCTTTAAAAGAAGTGACAAAGCTTTTTAGTTTGCATTCAACAGGTTAATTCACAATTCAAGGAAAAACCATCATTTATACTGAGAGAGGAAAGTATGGATTAGTTGGCAGGAGTTTGTTACATTACCAATTGGTAAAGGCATTGTCATAGAGAATGCTGATTGACAGTTAACTAGCAGGCTTTAAGTTTTAAATCAGGCAGGTTGATTCTGATTGGTTCGTGCATTGCCCTGCGAAGCGAACCAGCAAATGGCTGTCACCTGTTTTGCAGAGTTGAAACAGGTGCAGTGTGGGTGTGCATATTCTTTCCATCTACAAAGATGGTCCTGTTATTAATACATGCAACTTCTAGTACACAGGTATGTGCTACACTACAAGCCGAACTGACAATCTGTATTAGTTGCCAGAATAATTCTTTTCTCAGCAATTTAATTAAATGTATTAACTAATAATGTTTTAATGCTTTATTGCCATTACTACTTGAAGGACTTAGCCTCTATCAAAAACCTGGCCTTTTTGTCCAAAGCTGCAAAACTGCAAATTCAGTCCAAATATCCTAAGTTCCTAGTCTGTATCAATATCAGTCTGCTGTGTTAATGGAATACTTTCCTTAAGTTTCTCACTATTTGATTAAATTATTTGCAGAAAAGCTAGAAGGAAAATTTCAAATGTCTGATCGATATAAAATTACAATGAGTGCTTTTCTTATTAAAACCTGTGCAAGACAGAATAAAAAGTACCAACTGTCCACTTATCCAAGTTTTTCTTTTACTCAATAAATTTCAGAAATGGCATTAAATTGAGGAAACACGACAATAGTGATAGAAAGCAACAAATCCCAAGCAGTGTATGCTGGATTTGTTTACATCTGCTTCTCCCATCACTGGTAGTTTTGCTTTCTGTGCTCTGAGAAAGATATTTTGTTTATAACTGTACTATTTTGTTTAAAGTCTCTTTTAAAATTGGATCCGTCTGGGATGTTAATAATGGCTGCTGTTGAACACTCAATTAGCAAACTGTTGGCATGTTATACTATTAATTAAAACCTTAATGCATTTATAAACTCCCCCTTACATACACACAGAGATAAACAATGTAAATAGGTTTAAACATAAGGGAAAACTGAAAAGACAATTCAGTTGGCTTTGTCCCCAGGTACTGTTGTTGAGATAATCTTGGAGTTTTCTGTTGTCCTGCGCGTTGCTTCATTTGACTTTCTCTAGTTTCTTTCACTGGCTGGTGAGGCACAGAGTGGCTGGTAGGCTTAGAAAAAAATTTGATTTATAAGTTAGAAGTCACAGCATACAACAACGGTTATGGAAAAGATAAACTAATTTTCTTCAGGTTTGCATTGAGTTTTGATTGCAAAGAACAGAGGGACTGCTCCAAAGATGAGGAAGAATTGAACACTTCACTCCCACTCTGTAACTTGTTCCCAACTTCAAGCTGGTCAGTTACCCATGAACCAATCATACAGTTCTGTTGGCAGACAATAAGGTCTTGGTCATTGATAACTGGTCACTAGTCCATAGACCAACTGACTTCTTATTGCTAGCAAAAGTTGCATCTGTACACATCCTCAGCTCCAAACAGTCTGCAACTCAAACTGCTATTACTGCTATTCAAACAGTTGTTTACATGATTCCTAGCATGGAGGTCAGGTTACTTGTTTTACAAACCTCCAGCCACTGTCTCAAAGGCTGGTTTTTAAATACAGCATTTTCATATTTCAAACCCCAGTGTTCAAAAACATAACATAGAAAGGCATGGTCTTTTTAAGTGTCAAAGCAACCTGCTTGGATAAAGATATTTCAATTGTAGGGCAAAATTACCATGGAATGGAAACCTTTAAA